TCTTAACGTTTTGTGTGTTACCTTTATTTATTAAATATCACGTTCTTCGCACATAAACCATAAAATTCAATTCAACAGAAATACCACAAAATAATTTCAAAACAGCATATCTTTACAATTTACGATACACAGTCTCGCGTGTTGTAGATAATTTTTTTATTTTTTTTTTAATTGTATTGCTCGCGCTGAAATCGTTGAGTTTGTTAATGAAAAATTCGTTAAAGGTTTACAAAATATGAAACATATAATAAAACAAATTCAAAATTTAAGCTTCCAGCTTACCATATTCGGGTGGAGGATTACGTTATACAAAATTTGATGGCTCTAGGTACCGTTGCTTTATCACAGTGCGAGAAACATACATATATACCTTTATGCAGATTCTTCATTATCTAATTTCTTTAAATATAATACAGGGCGATGATATTTGGTGGCAACAATTTGAAAATTGATACAGTCTTTTAAAGTTTTCAACGAAAAATGCCAAGACTAAATTAATAGCCCTTCTGGGCTAAAAACACGGACTTGTATAAACGATATCTTTATATATGTAGCATATGAGTAATTGTTACTTATTTGGATGAGTCATTACACATACATAAACAACGTGTGTAATGTAATATGTCTCCGGTAAATATTAATTAAAGGACTTTGGTACTGGTTGTTGTAAAAGCGAGTCATCGTTATTTGGACTATCGTAATTTGAAAACTAGCTATAAGCGCAGCATATTGGATCACAAGGAAGTGATAAAGGAATATATGTGCTCTTAATAAAGATAAATACATATGAGAATTTAATATGTGCTCTTAATAAAGATAAATACATATGAGAATTTAATATGTGCTCTTAATAAAGATAAATACATATGAGAATTTAATATGTGCTCTTAATAAAGATAAATAAATATGAGAATTTATCATAGATTTCAGGAAAATTAATTTTAAATTCTTATGAGAATGATATTCTCAATTTGTTTACCTGTTATTCTTTTTATTAAATGATATTAAAAGCAGCTGGAAAGTTTTATGCGTTTTAATTGTGTTGGTAATTCTGTATAATTTATTTAATTAATCTTAAATATAAATTAAATTTTATTTAATAGTTTACATGTTTTTGGATATTGTTTCAATGATTTTCGCTATGTACTGTCAAATACTACACATATATACAAGGAATATAAGTCACATTAAAATTTCATACTGATTCTTCTACCAAACATTAACTAATTTTCATGCTATTAAAAATATAAAATAGTGTGGTCAGATTTATAATAAACTCGATAAAAAATTTCAAGGATTTGCTTCAGTTCATTACTCTATTCCCCCACCCCCCTAATGTATCATTTATTGAAAGGGTTTTAGAAGATTTCTTGAAATGTTGAAAACCCAGATAACTAAATCGAAAGAAAATTTCTCTCATTGCCATGAAATTTTACAAAATTTATCACAAAATTCGTTTTAAAGTACGTTCTTATATTCAAGAAAGCAGTTAAGCAAATTACTTTTTTAGTATTGGCAGCCGTGTTTTGTTTACATAAACTTGGCAACATATTTGGCGGAGATAAAAAAAATGCTGTTGGTAAATAAAAAAAATGCTACGCCAACAGTGTGACGTAATTTAGTTACAAACACGTTTTATTTATAACATAAAGTATTTTAAGAAATTATTCAGCCAATGAGTTTTAAATACAGTGAACTGAAATGTTCCAGATGAACCTAAAGAAAGGAATTAAATCTAAGATTTGAAATATTTTTCTTTTAACTTTTCGAATTGCTCATTACATAGTACCCAATTAGTAGTTTGGTAAATGTAATTTAAACCAAGCTTTTGAAACTTTACTCAATAGTTTTACATTTTACGCGCTAAATAGTTCCAAAAACTCCTCTCGTTCTCCAAAAAATATTAATATTGGACTCCCTTGCTTATAACTGTCTACGCACTTTACATATAACTTGTCTTTCATCCTGCATGATATTTCAGTAAAGGTTTGATTACTGTACTTTAAGCTTATATATCATTTCTGCACTTAAAGCGTATACATAATACAATGTAAGTACTGTAACTGCTGTGATTTAGTATTTAAAAACATAATAAAAATGCATAGTGTGTACACATTCATGACAGAAATAGCTACCAGAAGCTGAACAAACCGACTGCCGTACACTACAAAACATGTGTACTAAACATCTATCATACATTTCCAAATTTGGTAAAAGTATATTTACGGGTAGCCCTTGGCGAAAATTGGCGATTTCTGGCGATACATGGATACCCTGTTTGTACAATTCTTTGACTTGCTATTTTGGCTTTGTGTAGCGGCGATTTTAGAGCCAAAAATCGCCGCTACACAAAGACAAAAAGTCAAAGAATTGCACAAACTCGGTATTTATGTACACACTGACCTATTTTCACTTAAAATAACATCCCAGAATTGTACAAACTTGCATTGAGCACTTCCTAAACTTTATCTATGTACACGCCGACCTATTTTCACTTAAAAAAAATCAGAGAATTGCACAAACTTAGCATAGGGCACTCCCTGCACTTTTTTCATGTACACATCGATCTATTTTCACTTAAAAAGTAAAAAGAGCATCCAGTTCTACAGTAGAGGCAAACAAAAAATACATAATCTCAATAAACTAATTTTAAACCAAACAATGAAATAACACAAAAAAGGAAAAAACTCTTATGCATTTAAGCACTACACAAAGCAAATTTCCACTTACCCTTATTTAGAAATTTCTTGGTCTTCAGTCTGTGGCACACAAAATTCCTTAACAGCATCCAAAAACTTCCTAAAATTACCTGAAATTGAATCTGTATATCATCGTCACCATATAAATTCACAAAAATAAGGGTAAAAAATATCCTCCGTAGTTCCGGACTGTCTTGGAAAATGGCTACTAAGTAAACCTTGATTTACCACCCCAGTCAATAAATGCTCTTTTCCCCCTTCGTTCCAAATCGTACAGAAATTCAAATTAATCTTACTACATTCAGCCATTCTACCGACTAAACAATAAAACAAGCAAAGGACTTTCAAACCAACACGCACCACAAAAGCCCTTACAAAAAATTCAAAATTCACCCGAATAATGCAACCGATTACGTCATAATAGGGTTTCCATAACATTTAACTACTTCGATAAATGAAACAACAACTTCGCCATAACACAAAGGGTACCCTTAAGTCAACTCTAACCCCAAATTTTCGATGCAGTTTATTGTCAAAGTAACATCTATAGCGCAAATAATATAAAATGGTGGAGGTCTTATATAATCTTAATTTAGCCATTTGTTTATTGAATATGGCAAAGCACACAAGGCAGTTTATCAAAGGGTGCAAGACATTCGCAGGGAAGTAATTACGTTATAAATGGAGAAAAGCACAATATATCTCACGCAGTTAGAACATTCGCCAGAATTTGAAAGCGTGCTGAGTACCAGTATTCAGTTATAATCACTTGGCCTTAAAGCATATGATTTTTATCAAACTTAAATCTGTCATACTTCCTTGTACGAAGTAAAAAGGAAGTATTGTAATCGCGAAAAGTTTCAGGCAGCATATTTCAACGAAAATATCCATTTTGACCGCTATCGAATGCAATTTAACGATGTTTTTGCGTCATATCTATACGTAAGGACAGAATAAAATACTCTTTTCCTTCAAAATAATTATAAAACTGCTTTAAAATTAATTCTGAAGAGAATTTTTCGTGGCGTCTGTACGAACGTATGTACGTACGTGCGTACGTACGTACGTATTTCGCATAACTCAAAAACGAGTAGCCTCAAGAACGTTGAAATTTTGTATATAGAACTGCTATAACATGTAGATGTGCATCTCGTATTTTGGTTGCAATCGGCCGCACCAAACGTATATAAATATATTTATATATATATCCACTCTTACCCGGCTCAGTGATCTCAGTTTCTTTACTCTTATATGTTTGTAAATTGTACATTTTTTGCTTTAAAAATGATTGAATTATGTTGTTTTTATCTTTCGGTTAAGGTTTTTATGCCTATAGTAAATCTGTGTGCAATATTTTTAGAATTATCAGCAATTTTAAAGCTGTTTAATTGCCGCTAAGCCTTTTTTAATGGCGGCCATTGATGTTTACATTTGAAACAGGAGACTAGTGGATTTGTTGCCAATCTAGAGAAACTTAGCTTCGCAACAACAAAGATAACGCATTCATTTGTTATTGCCAATTAAAACATGCTTAATTCTTTCTGGAATTTTTTCGAGGAAATAAGCGTTTGAAATTTACTTCGTAATTTTTAATATAGATATTTTGAGTTTTTATGTATTTTTGCCTTCTCGCGAAGTGAGAACTGAATTAATTAAATGAGAAATACTCAATCGTCTGTGAAAAACTGTTTCTTTTTTGTTTTGTTTGCTTAATTTCTTTTATACATAGTTCTAGCTTTATTATAGTATTTGAATAGAACATGTGGCAACGATTATATAATTCTTTAAATGATATACATTTTGTGCATTCTGAGTTATAATATGAATGAAATATATGTCGCTATGGTAAACAAAGTGAATTTTAAAGAATGCATTTATTCTATTGTGGTTTATGCGCTGTCGGCGAAGTAGGTTTAATTCAATCTAATAAGTTTAAATAAAATGCAAGAAAAAATGCGTATAATTTAATATTCCGTACAAGGAAGTCATGTGGTGTACACATCAGATTTTCTATGTATGTCAATTAGAAGAGTTATTTAAATTTTTTAATGAAACATTTAAATAACTTTTCATAACACGAAATGAAAAATATATTTCAGATATCCCCATAACAAAATATAATCAACATGTTATAGAACATCCTGAAGCTCAATATAATTAATTTCACGTTATTTTAAAACGTCTTAATTATGAAACTATTGGATTGTTCTTATCATCAGCATCTTATTAAATATTAATCTCTATAAATTAAGAACGATTTACAATTAATTTTTGTTTATATAGTTATTCTTTTTGCTGCAGGTGGTTTGTTCGATACCGAAGACCGAGAACAGGAACTCGCTTTTAGAATTGCAGTTGACTTCTTCAACAGCGATAAAAAAATTCAATCAAAGCCCCGAATTATCGCACAGGTAGAAAGAATTAGCAGAGGAGATGTTTACGATGCTACTAAGAAAGGTGAATATAAAATTAAAATTATTTTTCATTGATTAAGAAACCATGTTTATTATTTTTTTCATTGATAGTTGTACATATTTATGTATTAAACAAGATCTTTGATGTGTAATTTCATAACATATTAAAATAGAGCATTTCTTTTTAGAAGAGATGTAGTTAGGAAATGATTTATGTTTTTACTAATAATATTAAAAACTTTTTAAGAGGCAAATAGTGTAATTATACGAAAGTAAGGCATGCTTGAATTACATTAAATTATTTTTTCAGATAGACATACGAATACTAAATTAAGTATCACGTTAGATCATAATTTCTGGACACAGTAGAGGCAAATCAATATATTGCATATAAGATCAGGCAAATTCTCAGCAGTCATGAGGTGAATGATCTACACGCTAGGCACTGATTATATACTGAATTATCTCATCTGCCACTGCATGCTTTAATAGTAAAAGGCTTAGTTGTAGAAAAGCTTACATAATGTAAGGAGAAAAAATCGTATTTCAGTCCCTTTTTATATTGAAAAATGTGAAATATTGATTGCTTTTAACTATCACTTGTTTAAGTCAAAAACGTTAGAAAAGGAATCAAATCATAATAAACATGGAAGGACATGATGCACTGCATGTTTGCACTATATGCCTTGCAGGCAACATCGTCATGTATGCTATGTTAAATGGAAAAAAAAATCACTAAATAAATGTTTCATAAAAAATATGAATGTGGTTTATTTATTTTCTAACTGCTTTTTGTTCTAATTCCTCTTTCTAATTAATATCTAATTTGCATACGATCTTTTCCTCCGTAACAGCTGGCAAATATATAAATGAGCTTGAAAATAAAAGTGGTTTCAGAAGTAGACGACAATTATGATCTAAAATTTAAAAATTATTAACGAGCCTAGGACTCAAAAGACTTTTCTCGATTTCAAATTTTCTCCACACGCCCACCAGGGGCCGAACGGTAAAAGCCGTTGAACACTGCTAGTTCGGTCAGAGGTTCGAGTTCCGGCAAACGAGCTGGCTGCATAAAGGCTCGTTTCCACTACTGCGTACGAACGCGTTGCGTCAATTGAAGACACGCCTACGGCATCCGTACAAGCGTTTCCACTGCTGCGTATGCGTAAAATATTTTCATTTTGCGCCGCTAGGTGTCACTGTAATATTTTGGCGCAAGCAGTTCGCGAGTTACGACGCTGAACATCTGAATCTTTTCCGCTTAAGCGAGTATTGTTTGTTTTGGATTTGATATGGAATTTTAGATAAGTAAGGTTATAATGCATATTATGAACATCACGAATTCCATAGAAGCTGAAAAAAAATTTAAAAAAAAATTTTTGTGTTTTAGAAAGCCTTAAATATTATGAAATATAATATATATTATGAAAACTAAAATACTGTAGGTGAAAAAGTAAACAAATAAATAATAAAATAAAAAAGTTAAAGGGATTAAAAAAATAGTTGGTACTTTAAAAGTACAGAGCAACTGTAAGGAAAGGTTCACACATATTTAAGCAAAATTTGCTATGCTTGTATACCGCTGACTTCAGGGTCATAGCTGGGATTTATTAGAAATCTCGTTTGTTTTAAAATGCACTATGGGCAGTTATTTTTTACATAATCCATAAAATATTATTTTTAATTTAAACATTTTTAATTCATCTCTTTTTATACAAGAAGTTATAAAAATAAGATTTTTTCTCTTTATATATACACACATTAGGTAAAGAAAATGGAAATATTTAATTAATTAATTCCTGCGCTTCTGCAGGAGAGGACTGAATTTAAACGCAATTATATATAAATTTTTAAAAAAAATGTTTAGGGCATTAATACCGTCTCATGTTAATTGGAATGAAAGTTTAGAGTCGTAAACATCCCAAAGTCTGAGCACATGTAATACATTCACATAAAAGTGAAACGAAAAAATATATATATATATCTGCAGGGTTTCAAAATAAATTAAATTTAAATAATTCTCTTGCGCCATTGCTGAAAGGAATGAAATTTGAATTTAACAAACATTTTCTATTCGTAAAAATTAAATTTAAATGAAATTTAATGCAAACAAATAAAGGATTAATTATTGCTGCGAACTAATATACAAATATCATTAAATTCTGAGAGCATATGTAAATCAAGTGCAAGCATCAAAATCCCCATGAATAAATATATTCCATAAAAATTTTATCCTATTATTCACTTAGGCATTTTTATAGTTTTTTAGGATTAAATCTATCCTATTATTCATTATGATTTTATAAATTTTAGGAGAAAAGATAACTCTTATTCACTGAATTTTTTAGACGATAGCACACTGAAATAGAACCACAAAATTTAGTTTTAAGAATTTATTTACTTGATGGTGTATATAAGCCAAAATATGCAAAGCAATTCCGTGTGATGCTAGCTTAGTGGTGAAGCTGACGGTAATAAGGTTTACCTTTTGGGCTCGCGAGTTCGAATCCCATACGTTTTTTGCACCCTGTCTGCAACTTTCTTAGCTTTTAGGTTCCCAATTTGATCTATATTTGTGTTTTATAATTTATTTCTATTATTATACGCATTAAATATATTTTTTATTTATGCTTTTATATATTTAAATTTTCCCCGCAAAAAATTTTGAAAATTATATGATACGAATTTAAAGCATACCTTGTACATATATATTTGAATTTGACAAACATTCTCTATTCGTAAAAAGCAAATTTAAAGTTAGATTAAAAAAAAACTTTTTGCGAGAAAAATTTAAATAAATGATAAATAAAACCAATATTTAATGCATTATATTAGAAAAATTTTATAAACACGAAGATAGATCAAATGGAATAAAAAGGTAAGCTTTTGCAGACACAAAAACGTATGGGATTCGAACCACGACTCCAAAAAGTGGACATCGCTCCAATCAGCTTCCACTAAGCACACGTAAGTTGCATGCATATTTTGGGTATATCATCAAGTAAACAATTCTTAAACTTAAGTTTTGGTCCTATTTAACTTTGCTATTGTCTGAAAATCACCAGCGTTTGTTCTTCATTTTAGTACATTTTGGAAAAATGTATCTTTATCTCAAAGTGCGTTCATTGAAGTTAAACGGGTGCTAAAAATCTTTTTACATAAATTATAAAAAGATACCTTTATAAAGGGAATAAAGTAACCCCCTCTGTGCCCCTTTTAAAAGTATTCTTTTAATTTATAAGTAACACAAAATTTTTTAGCAGCCGTTAACTTCCCGCCACTTTCAAAGATAATGAATTTTTTCCAATGTACTAAAACAAGAACAACTCAACGACCCAGACTGAATAGGACAAAAAACTTAAGTTTTAAGAATTATTACTTGATGATGTATAAACCCAAAATATGCATGCGACTACGGTATCCTAGCTTAGTGGCGCTGTGAACGATGTCCACTTTTTGGACTGAGTCGAATCACCAACTTTCACCAAACTGCACTTCTACCTGACCAATTTGATCTATATTGGGTTTAAATTATTTATTATTAATTCAAATATATTGTTTGATTTCTGCTTCATTTTTTAAATGTTCCCAAAAAGTTTGAAAATTACAAAACTAATTTAACCATATCCTGTAACTATATATGATAATGAACCCGAAAAAGCAAAAAAGAAAACAAAGGAAGGCAACAAAGTGATACTGATACAAAATACATGAAAAAATATAAAAAAAGCAAATTTTATAAAGATAAATACCATTCTGAATATATATTCAAATGCGATTTTAATGCTACTATTACAAAAAATGTAAAAATGTCCTGAGAGAATTTAAAATAATTTCATTTGTCAAAAAAACCACAAAAAATTAAAACGAATCGAAAATGTGAAACAACACGCAATGGGCAAGAAATTATTTAAAAATTTTTAACCCAAAAATATAACCCACTTTAGGAAGTATATACATGTGCTAACTTTGGGATGAAAAACTTTCAAATAAATGAGACGGTAATACCCTAAAAAAAACAAAAAATTACTATAATAATGCTTTTAAACAGTCCTCTCCTGCAGAGGCAGGAATTAATTAAATATTTCCATTTCTTTACCTAACCCAATAAAGAGAAAAATATTAAACTATAAAAAGATATGAATTAAAGTAAAAAAAAATATTATGGATAGTATAAATCCTGCCGGTATTTTAAAACAAACGAGATATAATAAACAGCTATCCCTGAAGTCACATAAAGCATAGCAAAATTTTGCAAATACACCTTTCCTTACAGTGCTCTGTACTTTTAAAGTACCAACTTTTTAACCCTTTAACTTTTTATTTTATGTTATTTATTTTACTTGTTTACTTTTTTTAGTTTCATAATATATATATTATTTCATAATATTTAGGCTTCTAGAACACAAAATTTTTTTTTAATTTATTTCAGCTTTATGGAATTCGTGATGTTCATAATATGCATATAACCTTACTTATCTAAATTCCATATCAAATCCAAAAACAAACAATACTCGCTTAAGCGAAAAATTCAGATGTCAGCGTAACTCGAAACTTGCGCCAATATTACAGGACACCAGCGGCGCAAAATGAAAATATTTTACGCATACGCAGCAGTGGAAACGCTTGTACGGATGCCGTAGGCGTGTCTTCAATTGACGCAACGCGTTCGTACGCAGTAGTGGAAACGAGCCTTAAGAGTTTCCGCATATTTCTCTGTTTGCAACGTGGATACGAGCCAGTTTCACCTAAAAAGACTTTCCCTTCCCTTTCCTTTTCCTTCCCTTTCCTGACATCTTTCCCTACCTTTTCCGTACGTGTCCTCCCTAAGAGCGAAGCACGTAATAAGTATATAGAAATGATTTCGTGATTGCATTCACGTTTGCTGCTTAGTGATTATCAGTTAAACTGATTCTTTAATTAAATACTGAAATATATGTTTGAAATCTGGACCTGTATTTAAGTATAACTATTTCTCTGTGATGGGGCGAACTTCTGAATTGCGATTGTTCTTTAGAATTGGGGATAATTTAAACCCTCTTC